TCCTGATAGAAAGTGCCATTCCGGTAAATCGCCCAATACCACTCCTTTTCGCCAATCGTCAATTATCATGAATACTCCACTCGGTAGCCTATTGTAGGAGAGGCGTCGTCAGCAACTAGAAGACATGGTAGCCTTGATGTGGATCCGTGGTTGTCTCAATCAAAACATCCCTCCCGACGCATATTGGCTTGACGTCACGCTCTAGAGTCACAGCCCGGATTTTATCACAGGACTATGAATATGGTGGCTCCACTACACATCACGTGTTACTAAAACGACAACATAGGTCCACAAACCATCCGCTCGAGGCGAAGGGACCAGATCCTACGGCCGCGCCGAAGTTACGCACTTCTATATGGCCTTCAGTCGCCTCATCGAGCGCCTGGGTCATAATGAGGATGGCATTCTCTGTGGCACATGGGTGCTCTGTCAACATCTCAATATGGCACTACTGATGGGTCTGTCCAGGAGGTCCGTGCGTCGTCCTTTCCATGTAAGTTCGCATTCTCTTTCATTCTCAGCCGCGTTATATGGCCGTCGCTGGTCCATCGCTTATTACGAACTCTCTTTACAATAAGTTGCCCGTTACAATCAGTTCCGCCCTTACAATTGCATGGACATCACCTATATCCCTATTCATTGAATTTGGACGTTATTGACAATAGCTCGTCTCTTACGGCAAGGCGAAGCGCAACGAAGGACATATGAACGACCTGATGAGAATAACCGCCGTGCTCGACTCCTCAGGCGAACATGACGGAAGTTATAGGTGCCAGGAATCCCTTAAGATGGCTTCTAAAGACAAATATGTATCCGCCTTCATTTCGATTTGCGTCGTATTCTCATGTATTAATATTGCAGGCCCGCTATATTCTGGGGATGGGGAAACATCTTAAGACACTTCAGGTCGAAAGCCGGCCCGCTTTTCTGGACTCTGGATGTATCAATCACGTTGGGAGGTCTCAAACCGGAGAAGTCCACGGGGCCAAAGCGAAACCGGAAGTCGGCTACCGACGTCAAGGGCAAAGGGAAAGCGAAGGATCAAGACAGCGGATTATTACCGGGCGAGTCGCCTGCACCCGAACCCAAGCCAGAGCGAACAAAAGAAACCGAAGGCGCCGACCACGAACGAGCAAAACGAGATGAACAATGCGGGAGCTGTGATTATGAATCCCACCGAAGCTTCGCCAAGCAAACGTCGTAAAATAGAGACCCCAACTCTCTTTGGCGACGAAGAAGTCGTACCAAGCAACGTGTCAGGCGACAACAGCGATGGCAATCGCAACGTTGCGACCGGTTCTCGCGCAGCTCTCGGCACACGACCTCCATCTCCTCAACAATGTCTACTCGCATGTCGCAGAAGGCCGTATCCAATAAAGCTCAGCTCCTTCGGAGGAGGGACATCCGGAGCGTGGCAGACGCTCGCTTGTGCAGGAGGCGAATGAGATGGACTGGGGTGAGCCCGATTGCAATCCTTGAGCTACGTAATATCGCTTGCCCTCTGAGATCATGTGACTCGGTTTTCCATCCGCGATGTTTGTTGTGTCTCAGTCTTTCTTGCCGCACCCCTTCGTTCCACAGCTGTGTCTTTCTGATTCAGCCATTGCATTACCTTCTTGCTACTTTATATTCCAGCACATACAACTTCTAGAAAAACATGAATAAGGGTAAAAAAAATTACAGTCCATATGGATTGTCTTGACGCGATGCTTCCATAGCTCCCGCTTAACTCAGTGGTAGAGTGTTGTACTTATGGGATACCGCCTCGCGTACAGTTATGCAAGGGTCGTCAGTTCGAATCTGACAGTGGGAATTTTGCTTGGGGACCAATGTGATGTTCACCGTGGCTGACATGTCAAATCCCACCCTGGCAGGAGAAACCTTCCAACCGTAGCAACGCGTCCTCCATTTGAGGAAACGGGGGAGTATGCCGAGTTTAAGAATCGGGCGAATTTATGAGGGGGCGTCGAAGGTAGATAGTCGAACATTTGTGCGCTTGTCTATTGTTGGGACATTTCGAGAGAGAGTACACCACCTATTCCAAGGCCTCTCAAGGAGATCTCTATGCAGGCTGCAGTATGGCCACTATATGGCCAGGCATGTCT